AAGATGACAAGGTTACAGCACATCCCAGTTTGAGAAAAAACAGGATGTAAAGCACTTTGTTCTCAGGATTAAAAAAGTAAAAATATTTCTACTAAATCTAGGGGAGAACAGGCTACGTTTTACCCATACACAAAATCCAGTACAATGACTAGGATGATCAAAATACTGCATGCACCACTGAAACATGAGTATTGATATTCTCATATAGTACTAAGACCCCTCCTTTATCCTGGCATTGGAAAAATGGAAGGAAAAACAAAAGATATGAGCGCTTTCTACTAGTGCACCAGCTAAATATCTTAGACATGAGAGTTGTTTTTCCCTCTCGACTTTCCATAGCATCATGCTGCAGAGTTTCATGTTGCCCCAGCTCAGCCTTCACGTCATCCTTTCATCTTGATCTTGTACCAATGTACTGCCAAATGGTCAAACTGCACTGGCATTTGAGTTTGTTCTTATTAAATACTGTGGTACTGGAAAACCAGATGAAGGTGACACATTTCCAAGGACTGAGACACCTATTGAGGGATCAGTCTCTAAAGGCCTCCTCCTCAGGAAGGCACTGAACGCCACCAACGGATTAATAGAGAAGGCTGCAGTAAATTAGTTCATCAAAAACCAAAAAAAAAAAGCCAGAATATATGCAACCAAAACAGGCATCCACTGAGGGGAAGAGAGGAAGCCTAAAGAGGCAGCAGAGATACTCTCTCTGACTTTAAGGGGACCACTTTTATCTTCTTCCTGGGATATACGTCACCATACAGCATAACGAACTTCTGACCTGACTTTTCTCTTGATCCTACTGTGGCAAAGGCACTAGTGGTTTTCAGATAAGGGCTTACGGATATGGGCATGGCAAGGTGACATGCATGGCTCTCACCTAGGTCACTAGATCATCCAAATGACCTTTACTTTGTGATAGGCCTCTGATTGCAATTCTCCTCTTATTCATAATTAAGGAAATTCTATTATACATTTCAGCGAAAATTACAGTTGTAGTACAAACCAATTCAAAATTAATCTAAATATAATGGTAAAATTTCTCCTCTGTAATTGAATAATTACTGCAATACAACACTAGTAGGGCAAAGATCAGGAACATTTCATGGGATTATTATTCAGAAACAGGCATTTTAAAACTGTATTGCTCATCCATGCAACACTTCACAGAAACAAATCCTCTGCAAATAAAGAATATAGAGAAATTGAGCTGAGAATCATTAAAAACATTTTTAAAATGAAGAACCACATTATTACATATAATCATTTTCCTTTCATACTCATTTGTTTTAATCTATTCATGCTCCCTAGAAAACATCACACAATTTTATTCATATCATTGTTTTCTTTAAATATGTGCATTTCAGTAAATTACAGTTGCATGTATAAAATTAGTGAGTTAAAATGTTGGTCTGATGCTAGAACTGAGCAGTCATTTATAAAAAAAAAAAAATTGCCTTGTTTTACTGTCTGTAAATTTTCTCTGGAAAGCTATGGTGTTTTTTTTTTCCAGTGCATTCATTATTCAGCATATTAACTGAATAGTTCTACAGAGACTTCTCCGCTTTTGAATCATTCACAGCCTGTTAGTTCCAATTATTTCACATTTGAAATTTGAACTCTAGTCCTCAGCTTTTATTGGACATAAAGTTTACATGAACTGATTCTGTTCTCCAGTTGAACAAATGTGACCAGATTGCAAAACAAATAAGTTTCACACACAACTTCTGCTGTTCATGTCAGTATATCAACAAGAGCAAATTTCTTAGCTAGAATACCAGATTAATGTGAGCACAAGCTGAAAGTCAACCTAGCACAATTCCAAAGCAGCGGGCCCACCTTACAAAGGAAACCATTATTGCACTGCTCTCAGAATCCATGCAGTAAGTGGAGCACACACTGCCTCCTTTGCCAAGTCTACACAGTTATGTTTGCTTCTAGAAAGACTACTTTTTTTTTAACATCTCCAGCAGAGCAGTTTTCCTAAGGTTTGCTGTACTTCAGAGCTGTCCCCCCAAGCTGTTACAAGGATGGGGTTATGGACCTGGAAAGCACGGTGCTCGTAAGGGCTGTGCTGACACCATTACACTGCTGGGACTCTGGGGCAATGCCCTGTCATTCTCTACCTGTGGGAGGCTTAGGAAAGTGGGGCTGACTGCAGCCTCCAGTCTTTTGTGGCCAGGTAACATAAAAATCAAGGTATTTATACAGTGGAGAGGGCAAGGGGAATGGATAACAGGCAACAGTAAATAAGAAACAAAAAATGAAACAGTTGAAAGCAACTTTATAAGGAGTGAGAAGTGCCCTAGAGTGGTCATTAACCACACTGCAAAGAAAGAGATATGTCAAAAAAAGGAGGAACATTTGCTGCAGATATTATGAGGTGGGAAGGATTGGAGGAGGCTGTTATTCTTGAAAGCATTAAATGAACTGGCAGATGGCCCTGTGGTCCGGACACAGGAAATACAAGTCCCATTCTGGCTGCAGACCTCCTGTGCGGGAGCAGAAGAGTCACACAGGTGTCTGAGATGACCAGCAGCAGGCCAGGGCACAGCTGGCAAAGAAACATCAGGGTGCCCAGTGCCAGAGCAGCTATCAGAATTGATGGGGAATGTCCGTTCCAGCATGGGAATGCCTTCATGCTTTGCCTTGCATAAAGCCATCTCAAATGGGCAAGAACATCTGCTTTTGTTTTCACAGTAAAAGCTGACACTGGAGGACATACACACATTTTAGGAGGGGAGCACATTCTGGAGTGGAGTTCTTTGTAATACAAACAATACGAGACCATCCTGGAAAGACTGTTATTTAGTGAAAACTTACTGTATATAAGAGGACAAGTCAGACTGTGATGGTGGCAGGAGAAAGTGTACTGAAATAACAGGGTGCTGCCTTGACAATGGGATAGCAAGGCAAATGAACCCAAGTGCACAGTGGATGGGGGGCTTCTGGTCAGCATTTAGTGGACAAAAGCTGTCAACTGTGGTCACTGCTTCCTTCTTTTGCCTCTGGGAGCAGGAATTTGATTATCCCATTTCTCCTTCAGCAAAAACAGCTCCCAAAGCAAGCTAGCCTTCACCCTCTCTCTGGCTTTCATAGAATCATTGTGTTGGAAGGGACTCCAGGGATCATGAAGTTTCAATCCCCCTGCAACAGGCAGAGCCACCAACGTCCAGATCTGGTACCAGACCAGGCTGCCCAGGGCCCTATCCAACCTGGCCTTGCACACTCTAGGGATGGAGCATCCACAGCCTCTCTGGGCAGCCTGTTCCAGCACCTCACCACTCTCTCTGTAAAGAACTTCCCCGATGTCCATTGTCTTTGTCTGTGTAAAGACAGATACCATCAAATAACATCACAAAAAAAAGCTGTACTTAGGACTGGTGAATGAGCCTTAATGGGAAACCAGGAAAATATTTCACCACAGCTAACACTGTTAGGAAAGAAGTTCCTAATAATGGATGTGCTTAAACATGAATGCAGCCTATTTATGTATGATAGAACTGTTCAGTAGAAAGATGGAAGATCTCAGGTTTGCTGTCCTGGAATGTTTTCCCCAAACCAGCTGTCTAATCATTTACACAAAGTGGCAGAACATGACTTTGACTCACTGACTACAACTTCATCCAAGTCTAGATACTCCTGGTCTAAAGCTACCTGAACTGACAGACTTTGTAGAAGATCTGTAATATGGACGCTTGACTAATTTTTAGAACATAAAAATGTTCTTTGTAAGACAATTTCTTAAAAGAGAAAAATACAGAAACTGTAAAAATACAGTTTCTATTCTCTTCAAAAATCATCCCGAGGAGTTAAAATCTGCAGCAAACACAAGGAACTGCTATTTGGAAGGAAGAGTACCACATGGAAATAGAACAATTCCAGAGACAGATTGATTTCTAAAAAATAAAAAGAAGAAAAAGAAACAAAATCTAAGTTTCTCCATGTAAATAAAGTATTAAAGTAGATCTTTCAAGATTAGAAATGGGTGAGTTATTGGAGAGGGCAGAAAACAGTGGAATGAAAATGAAACAACCTATAAAAAAGACATATACGAATGCTTATATGAATAGCAGCAAGAATTACTATAACTTACTCATGCAGACTTTTTCTACCAAGAGCATTTGTCATCAAGAAAGCAAGTGTGGCTCACAATTACCATTGGAAATAACCAAAATACTCATTACAGAGTTTCCTGCATTGAAGCAGACAATTGAGAGTTAGCTAGTGAGCAAGATCTTGCATGACCAATTCCATTCAATTCAGTTCAGCTGGTTAAGCAAATTATAAAAGACAAATCAGATAAAGTATATATAAGCAATTTCTAGTTGCATGGTTGAAGGAAAAGCACAGCATATCAAATTGGTAACTTTTTCTTTTCCTGCTGAGTAGCTACTCTTACACAAAATATTTTCCATGGCATTCCCTCTTTCTGTGAAAGGCAGGGGAACTCTCATGCTGCCATATCAACAACTGGGCTGTACTGCTGTGGTAACAGCAGCATCTAGAATTCCAAATAGGAAGTGGGAAAGTTTATATGACTATGAAAAAAAAACAACAAAAAAACACCTTAAAAAATATAATCATGAGGTTTTAGTGAACTGTTTGACTAAAAAATAAAAAAGGTTGAGTAGTTAGGCCAAAATAAGCCCACTGAGGTCCTGAGCGTTGCAGTTTGCAAAAGCTTTAGCTTCCAATTTGCCATAATGACATAAAATTTTGTTTTAGAAGAATATGCTGCAAAGGCATTGTCTGAACCCCAACATGGGGGTATGTGAGCCACTGAACTGTTATTGTTTAGATTGCAACAACATTTGCAAAGTCCAGTTGTGGCCTCTGCTATGATAAATCTAGCAACATGGAAAAAAGAGGCAATTTCCAAACCCAAAGAGCCCATCGTTGCAACCCAGGGCAAATTGGGTGAAGGGTAAGCGGAGAGGAAGAGAGCACTACCTCAGAAATGTCTGGCTGGTGGTAACTGTTTGCCTTCCACCTTTCAGGATGGCCTGGGACTCACTGTGTGGCAGGGATCTGCTGCGTCCCACAATAAGAAGAGCCTCAAGCATCGCACAGGGAGGGCAGAGGGGGGACACCCCATCCCTGGAGGAGCTGCAGCGCCTGCTGTGGACACGTGCGCGCCCTATGGGGCATGTGGATGAAGTCTGGCCAAACCTTTATGTGGGAGACCTGTAAGAGAGGGAAGGGCTGAAGGTGCTGATGAAACTCTTAGCTCCCACCTCATCCCTGCCTAAATCATCCTATCTTTTTAAAGAGAGAGCTAGGTATTAATTTGGAGACCCTTTGGAATAAGCCTTATTTTTGAGTGAGGCTGAACCTTGCTTAGGATACCACATCACATAGGAAAAGCAACTTGAGCGTTCCTTTCCAGGAGAATACTACCCTTCCTAATTTCTCCCCCTGCATTAGCACAGGATACCCATGGTGCGACAGCCTGGTGGGGTCACAGCATCACTACTACAGCGCTCACACCAGAGCAATGTCAAACACGACACCCTGATACTTGCTTCCCATTTCAGATGACATCAGTCCCAGAACTGATGGATGCTCAGCAGAGGTGACTTGGTGAGAAAACAAATCAGAAAACTTTCAGCTTGTACACAAATAAACCTTACCCCGAACCTTCTCAGTTGAGAAGAAGCTAAGCGGATGTTTGATGGAAAGTGTAGGAAATCTAAGAGCCAGTTTCTTAAAAGTCCAATTCTGTCCTGAAATATTTTTGTAAACACTTTAAATCTAATCATTTTGTTAGGAAGAAAGCCTTTATAACTTTCTAACAAACTGCACCAGCAGCTGCGTGCTTTATGCTGCACCACAGTGCAGCAGGAGAATGAAAAACCCTTTTCTTCCTCCAGGTATGTTGCTCGTGACAAAGCACAGCTGAGCAAAATGGGCATTTCCCATGTTGTGAATGCTGCTGCTGGGCGCTTCCACCTCAACACTGGGCCCAAGTTCTACAGAGACCTTCCTGTGGATTACTATGGAGTAGAAGCAGAGGACAACCCCAACTTTGATCTCAGCATTTACTTCTACCCAGTTGCTCGATACATAAGAGCTGCACTGAATACCCCAAGAGGTAACCAGATCATCTATGCATATGACATACTTTCAGCATGCTTCTTAGTGCTGCTTGTTAACTTGCTCAACTTGGTCAAGCAGTACTCGGCATAAACTAACCACCTGCAGGTGGGGTTAAGAACCCCAAAACGAGCAAACACAAACCAAGCAGTCATCCCTGCCTCCCAAACTCCCACAGCAAGTCTTGCAAAGTTGATGACGCCAGTTGTAAAGAGAAAATATGTAGCTTGTTACTGAAATCACTACCCCATATGGGGAAGAATAGAAATAAAGTCACACTGCTCTGGAAGTTTATTTCTAGTCCTCTAGTACTGCTCTCATACTCTTCTTTTAGAGATTCCTGCTCAGAAACAAATTACTTACTGCCAGGATTCCTTCCAAGTTTTACAGGGACTTGGGGTAGGAAGTCCAGGCTGTGCTTTGAAGCAGAGCGGTTCATCAGACCAGAGCACAGGAATCTCAGAACTCAGTCACTCAGTCACCCTGAGCTGCTCCAGAGCAGCAGCTGCCACTGCCTCTGTGCTGTCCTACAGGGCACACTGCTCACCAGCCCGGTAACAGCTCCTGCTACAGCCTTGCCCTGGCCCATGCAGGTCCTCTAAGAGGGCAGGCTGTCATATGGGTGGATTTTGCTTTGAATTTTTTGCTTGTTTCAAAAACTGCAATTGGTGTAAGCTTCCGACAGCTTATGTGTAATGCCTTTGTATTTGCACATGAAGGAAGAAAATGCTAAAATACAGTTGAACAGATGTTTTTTTTCACTAAAGATAAAACCGGGAAGAGTGCACTGAATGAGCTTTCAGAGGGGTTTTTCCTGTGTCTCATGCTATTCAACATCTCTCTCAGCAAAAGACAACAGAATAGCAGACATTTACTAGCTACGTGTGGATGTCCCGAGCTCTGGGAGGAGATGCATACATGTGATCTTGCCAAATTACTGATTTGTTTTAAAATAATAGCTGGAATCAGGTAAAAATATTGTAATGCTAACGATCTGCAGAATTCCTATGATCACAAACGAGGGAAGAACTTGCTAGGAAGCAAATTGGTAGAAGCGCACCTAAGCAACAGCACCAGTCAGGAGATTAACACCACACTGTTGCTAGTAAGTAAATTGGAGATAGGAAGATAACTGGAAAAATCCTTTGACTTGCTCAACACTGTCCAGGTACAATACCAGAGGCCTGAAGCTGGTGGGAACCCTGAACGTGAAGGACAAAGGACTCTTCACAATAGAGTCACCTCTGTACCACAAAAATGCAGCTGCCCACTGAAAAGTGATTTATTAAGAGAGCACTTAGTTATGGCACACAGCAGGCTATTCTGCTGAAATACCAATGAGTGCCCTAAAATATTAACTACACAGCTTGGTGAGTGAGTAGATCTGATGAACGCACTTAGAGACCTACACTGTACAAACTGGGAAAGGAAGACATGGTTACAGAACCCAGTGCACTTCTGTGCTAGACACAGGAGTTTACTGCTGCTTGGAGGCCATAATCCATCCCAATAGAAAGCATTTGCCTTTGTGAAATTGAGGGCTGCATTTAGATTTCAAAACCACTAATGTACTTGGGAAACTTGGATCTGCACCCATGCCTATTACAGCGTATACTATTTACAAGTGAAGTCATTATTGGTGGTGCTCCAGGGAAAAGTAAGATCCAAAATTTCTTCATTTGTGTGCAAAATGAAATAAAAAAAAAATTCCAAATGGACTGACAAAAGACAGAAAACAACAGATGAATCATGGTGGCCACAAAAGCAAACAAAAGCAGTGTTCTGCATACCCAAATACTAGAAGTTATCAGAACAAGTTAGTGCTCAAGGCAAACACAATGAACTCATCATCTCTTGAGTGACTATTTATCCCTACTCCCGCATTTTTAGATACTGCTTTACTGAACTCCATATGGAAGCAGGGTTCTGGGAATGAAGATAAGGTGAAATTCAATCATATACAGTCCAGCTGTTGCTGACATTCATCATTTCAAGGAAAGTGCAACAGTTTGGAAAATATATAAACAAGATGTTCTAAAAGCATAATTTCCCGAGGTACAGAAATTTAGCAGCTAAATATCCATGACCTGCGAAGGGATGAGACAGGGAGAGGATTGTTATTCACATCATTTAGAAGAAGGAAAAAAACCTGCATTTATTGTAAGCAGCGATGCTGAACACAAAATTATGCCAGGTGAAAAGAGGCCTGTTCATATTAAATTCAGGATGTAATGAGGTACTTGTGTTTGATTGAGAAGTCATTTAAGACTACTATCTATTTGTTCTAGATTTCTATTTTAACTAAACAGGTCTTTGGAGATACCAGTATCCATCTTGCCCCTTTGCACAGGCATCTGGGCAGTTAGCATTTTTTGGGAGTGCAGCTAAGCCTGAGCATAAATCAGCAGTTTGACAAAGTCGAGCAAAAGGGGAAGGAAATGTGAATTAAGTGCAGAGATGAAGGCATGCCATGACAGCTATCACACAAGCACTGTACAGAGAGAAAGATTCCCAAGCATAATTCCCAAGCTTATCATTTTCTTGTCCTCCAAACATGTTTAAAATGGGCAGGTTAAAGCCATCCATTAACTTACTATAACGGTAAACTCTCTCCAAGGCATTTCCCTTCTTCCACATCACTGGAGCTAACTAAGAGCCAAACTCCATCTTCTTTATTGCTGTTGTCGTTTGTTGGCTGGGAAAAAAGCTGGACTGAGCAGAAAAGGGTTCTCTCTTGACTCTGCCACAGGGGTACCACAGGAATCACTTCATGCTGGCACTGCCCCCCAGCAGGTGCCCCTACCTGTTCCACCAGGCCTGGGCAGAAGAGGCACACTGCCACTTACAGCTCCCCTCAGACTTCTTCCTGTTCACAGCCATGAGAAAATGGATGCTTGATGAATCAAGAACTAGGCAATTGGTCATGCTCCTGGCTACAGCATGGTGGCACAATGTAGAAAGAGATGAGGGAACTGTGGTGGAGCAGGAAGAGCTGCTGCAAGTAGGCAGCATGGTTCTGCTGGGCCCAATGGGGTGAGGGCAGCTGGGGCACACACCTGGGGTGATGGAGCTGGAGTCTGGTCTGGAGCCAAATCATATCCATCCTGCAAGGAAGCAAGGGCTAGTTCAGGACATTTAGCTCAGTTAATGATGAGTAGCACAAGAACAATAAGATATTATGCGTTTTAATGGCTAATTTGTTCGACTACATTGAATTTCCCAACTTGAATTTGGCCAACAAAGTTGAATTTGCAAACTTTATCCCTACTGCAAACCCTTTGATGTCAGCAGAGTTACAGCAGGCATGAGCTGGATACAATATCCATAATCCGTTGTTAAAAACCAAGTGTTATTGTTCTGCACAAATCCCAGCCAGATGACAGCCATTGTCTGCCTCTGCAAAGAGTAGCTTGAGACGCGCGGTGCCACGTTTCAAATAAGGATTGCAAGATTTAAGAATCCTGGAAGCTAAGTGCCCCCTCTTCTCCTCAGTTAATCCCATTATTCCTAAGGGATCCTGTTACACGCTCGCTGAGACAAGGTTGCAACACAGCCCTCTCATGTGGGATCGGTCCAACTTCTCTTAGCACTCCATGTGCAAAACAAAGGCCGGGGAGGCAAAGCTGGAGGACCTCCGCTTGTGGCATAGATTCTGTGGGGCAGAAGATCTGGTTATAACCTCCCTGCCCACCCCACGACAGGGACAGGCATCACAATGGCCATTGTGAAGGCTGCTCACAGTTGCTCCCAGCAGTGCTTTCCAGGCCCTGCTCCAGCAGCCACCCAGGAGCCCAGCCTGGTGCTGCGATGGTGCAGGCAGCTGCTCCTGCAGGAGGCTCACACAGTGCTCCGGTGTGAGATGGCTGCAGTCAGATGTGCCTCGGGCATCGCTCAGGCACAGTGTATTATGGTGGTTCGGAGTGCCTCTTAACCCACGTACAGACAGGGACAGGGTCTGAGCCTGTAAACAGAACTGAATAGCAACACGGCTTTTGTTTCCTGACTCAACGTTAACATTCAATTTGTTCGCTACAAATAATCACATACTAAATTCAAATCTGCTTTCATTAGAGCAATTTTACATTAATTAAATCATTTCACACGACCGATTTATCTGCAACAAACAGTCATTTTATTCTCAGTGTACCAGCACTTCTCATAACCTCCCTGTGTGTTGAAGCAAAGACTAACAATGTGAAATACATATTGCACATGTAAAACAGACATAATACCTGCACCCCCATGGGAACCAGCGTACTGGAGAGCCATGGAGACTGGGCATGAGGTCAACTGTTCCAGCCTGTTTGGACTCTCGATGAGACATCTTTTAAAACAAGCTGCTCAGCTAGGACACATTTGAAGTGCAGACAACCTAGACAAGCAGGGAAGAAAATTTATATATGCTCTTACTCCCCACTTCCTCCTCTCGCACACGGTTAGGATTTAAACCAGCAGAGAGCAAAGCCAGCTGTACAAGCTGGTCCCTGGAATTTGTTCTGCTCTCTGTGTCCTCAGCAAAAACACAGTGGACAATGTTCAGTGGCAGCACCTCTACCTGTGCTCAGCTTAGTTTTCAGATCCAGACTGTAGATAAGGCCAAGGTCTTCCCAAGACAGAATACTCCTTATGGATGAAAAAAAGAGACCCAAGAAACACTTTGCAGAAAGGAGGCTCAGAACAGCAAGTCTTATCCAGTGTTTACAATTGAATTTCAAACTACTTAGTGCACCAAACTCAAATTCATCATCAAGGCCGTCACCATGATTTTGTGTGCTTCAGTGTACCCTGCTTTCAGGTGTGGTTCAAACCATAAATATTTATTTTTCTTTCACTCGTACAGTGCTGGTAGCTTACAAGTTGTCAAACAACAAAAAGAAAGTGTTTCCGATTCCAAGAAAATTTTTCAGAACATTCTGTTCTTTGGTTTTCATTGCCTTGGTTGCACAGTAGGACAAGTGTCTGGGTTTTCCCAGTCACTGCCACTGCTTTCCAGCCAGGCCTGCAAACTACTTAAGCACGGATTTTCCCAAAAGCCTGTTGGACTTAGCCCTATTTCCAATATTTCCCAAAGAGAAGCTGTGTTTGGGACTCTTTTATATCTTCTGAAATTCTCAGACCTGAGTTATTTTGGTCTGAAGTGCTTCTTCTGAAGCAGATAACATAGAATACATGTCCCGCATGATAGCTGGCAAGGCTAGAGACAGTGCAGCACATTGAAAATAACATCTAGAGAAAAACATAGATTAGCATCAGCTTTCAGTAAGAGGTGCAAAGCATTTCCCCTCATTCCCACAAAAGTAGACTTCCAAGAGTGCCCATTTGGTTAGTGAAAGTGAGAGAGACGTAATTTACCTAGAACAACAATGTTAGGTTGTTATAAAGAATATGAATAAATTCTGAGAACCTCTATCTGAATGGGAAAATGCAAACAAAAAATCACTCAATCTTCTAATTCTGCAGAATTTTACGTTACATTAGAAGATTTCATCATTCCTCAAAAGGTTTCAATGCCCAGTCCACCTCTGCTGTCACTATTTTCACTGCTTGTTTAGAAACTATATTTGTCTCTTTATTTCTGCTGAAGACACGTCTATATTTAGGGATTGAGCTCAGATTTCTCATGCCAGGATAACGGAGGGTGGGCAGTGTCACACACACTGCAGAATCAACACCTCTCTGAACCTGCTGGCCAGAGCAGGTTTTTACAACACATGCTCACACTCTCTGAGCATGTGGCTCTGTGATCATCATTAGTCAGAACCAGAGCAGTTGCTAAATAAGTACTCTGCCACAAACAAAACGGGATTTAAGATGAAAAGCTGTGCTCAAAGTACCCAGAATTAAAACCAGGGGAGATGGGGGCAATCAGTTTGAGGTTTCCAGCTGGATCTAATGTCATCAACAAGGATGTTTTTGTCTCACCTGAAGCTTCACCAGCTAGTATGCCACTCCCAAAACAAGGAGTGGTGAAGCAGGGACACCAGGCTAGGCTCAGGAGCCAGGGACACACCTTACAGAGCAAAGAGAGGGAACTCACATAGCCTCACTGCTCACACTGTTGACTCAAGTCCCACTGAAGCAGGCTGCAAAGCTGTGGGCGCTTTTCTCTGCCATCTCCACATGCCACCAGGCTGAGGGCTAAGCCCAAAACTCGCAGTGCAATCATGAACGCTATGATACATTTATGCATTGTCCCCAGCCATTAAAAGCCCCACTCTCCTTTCCACAGGCAAAGTACTGGTCCACTGTGCGATGGGAATCAGTCGATCTGCTACTCTTGTCCTCGCCTTCCTAATGATCTGCGAGGACATGTCTCTTGCCGACGCGATTCAGGCTGTGCGCTCCCACAGAGGGATCTGCCCCAACTCCGGCTTCCTGGAGCAGCTGCGAGAGCTGGACCTGAGGCTGAGGAAGGAGAAGTGCGCAGGAGCTGGGATCTGCTAGCACGGGGCTGGCCAGCAGCAGCACAACCAGCCGCCAGGCTCAAACTGAGGCCAGCGCGTGGACACTGCAGGCACACTGTGGCAGCTGCACTGAGAAACTCTGCTGGGGAGAGCCGATTGGAGCTTGCAATGTATTTTTTGGATAAGCCCACTAATTGAAAGAAACTGAAATAAAGAAGGATTCAGACCGGCAATTTCACCCACCTGGACCTGCTTTTTTAACAACCTACTGCGCAGGGTACAGGCAGCAGTTGGGTTTTCAAGCCGAATTAAAAGGCAGCACAGCCAACTTGAGGAGAGACTTTTTACTTGCTTGTAATTGCATTTATACGGCAGGAGAAAAAATGGTTAAACTGGTTAAAAAAAAAAAAAAAAAGAAAAGAAAGAAAAGAAACCATGAGGTTTTCAAGCAGTCTTTAACCTTTCACATGCAGCTGGCACGGGGCAGGACTTAGGGTTTGGTGAGCTGACATGGTGACATGGGCTAGGCCAGGGGCTCTCCCAAAAACAAAGGGCTTGGGCTGGGACCATCACAGCTCCTCCCAGCTTCAAAGTTATGGGGTGAGGGATCCCCACACTCCTCAGGAGCCAGCAGGAAGGTGCCAACTGAATACTACACAGCAAGGCACTGCTATCGGCCACAGGACTGCACAGCTGCGAAGGGACAAGGCAGGGGGCACACATGGGCACTCTGCCAGGTGGGAACGTCCCACTCCTGGTCATCCCACAGCTCACAATGCATTGCCACGATTCCCTGCTGCAATAGAAAGCCAGAACCTAGTGTCATCGTGTCAGAGCAAAAATGAGCAATGTCTCTAACAAACCCGAAGTAACAGCTCCGCATTTCGATTACTCTTTTACGCCCAATTGGTCACATTTAATCTTGTGAAGAACTCGAAGCAGATATTTGCTTCAGTGCAATTACAGCCACATACAGAACATTGGCAAATGCAAACAATATAGAATTTCCACTTGACGGCAGATTAATTTGGTGTGATGTTTTCCCTTGAGAGGTCTTAAAGGCTTGCAGTTCTGGAAGTAACATGCAGTTCATATTTATAGCACTAGGAATGGTGAATGGAGAGAGACACATATACTCATTTTGAACTGAAGTTTCTTTTGCCTCCATACATAAAAAAAATTAACTGAGCACAGCACACTTCAAATGCATTTCTCTCATAATGCAATATGGAAACATGATTTCCCTGCAGAGTCTACAGAGAAATTCAGGTGGTGTTTCCGCTTCCATAAATACAGTAAGTAAAAAGCAAGCGATACTAGAGGCTAATTTTCCTCCCAGGGAGCAGAGATGGCTCGTCCCTCAGAATGGGTCCCATCCTTTGAGACTGGAGTAAGTGGCCAGAAGGGAGGTCACAGCTAATGATGGAAAAATCAGTGAAGTTATGACTTTCACAGGCCTCCCACTGGCTGCTGCAGACAGAGGTTGGGTTTCAGTGCGCCTGGTGGCTGGCTGCTCCTGGCACCTGGGTCTGCTCCGCCAAGCTCTGCTGGGGGACCCTTGGTTACCACAGCCCATGCTGAAGCTGTTTTGTGAGCTGTCTTTTTAGTTGCCTTGCTAATCACTGCCTTCAGCTCTCTGTAACACTGGCAACCCTGAGCCAAATGGCACAACATGAAAGTACAAGGGGTGTGTGAAACACAGCAGTCCCAAATCTTCGTGCACTGAGCCCATCAGGACAGGTCATAATTCCCAGTGAGCTGCATGTCTGGAAACATCTGTGGTTGCAGTGTGGAATTTAAAATGAACAGCTCCTCAGAGAGACTGAACCTAAATTTACCTCAGCTGAGGCCTGGTAGCCATTATGGGGCTGCTTCAGCTGGCTGGAGAGTGCCTCAGATGCCCTGCCATGCACAGCATGCAGATGGAGGCAGGGCACTGGCAAGGCAGGAGAACCAAGTGAGCATCACTGTCACAGGTGTGCAGAGAAAGCCTGCTCCTCTGGGAGAGCAAAGAAAAAAAAGAACAGGAGGCAGGAGGTTAAAACACTGAACCGAAGACAATAACAGGCTTCCAGCCCCAGGGAAAAGTTTTCCCTTTCTGCAAGAGCCTGGACCAGTGACAGCACTGCTGTGAAGCCCAGAGGGTGGTAAGCATGTCCCCATCTTCTACGGGTTTCTCTCTTCCCAAGCAGATGAGCACATCTGAGCACTCCATCACCTCTCCTCATATACACAGCTCCATCAAGGTGCCAGGTTCAGCAGCCAATGTCAGCTCAACAACCATCATCAGCTGCACACTGAAGTACATTATTGCCCCTGTGCTCTAGTTAAGCAGAAGTCTCTTAAATTTATAGCTGGAACCAAGACAAAGAAAACACAAACAATATTGGGTGTGGTTATAGATATACCATGTGCTGCAACTTCCAGTTCCAGAGTTGCTGATTCATTGCAAGCATCTAGTCCTAGCTAGCAGCCAGGAGCCTGGAGGGCAACTGCCAGGTTTACTGCCAAGGAGCCAGCAGAGAGAAATCCCTCTTCCACTCTGCAGGTGTACATCCTCCTCAATGCCAGCTAGAACCACGCTTGTCCAGAGCACTACCTGAATGTCCCCTGCCCCAAACTGTGTCATTAGATACTGCAGGTGGAAGAAGTGGTCAGATCAGCAGACTGGACATATCAACAGGCAGAGTGATATTTGTGCCATCATTTCTTCCATGCCTACTCCTCAGCCAGTGCAGAGCAAGTGCTGAGGGCTATTTACAAACCCCTCCACTCCATGTGTCAATGAGCAGCCCCCAGCTCTGCAGTGGGGCTGGTGCCTGCCCACCAGGCAGCCCATGAAGAACAATGGTGGTCCTAGCCCCCTGTAACAGATAACCTGGAGTTTGCCTGAGCTCCAGCAGGTTGTTTGGGGAAAAGCACAGCAGGATTGCTTTCCAGCCTCCAGAATTGGCACGAAAGCATGAGAACAGTTTTCTCAGTTAAGATATCTTGCCTTCTGCAGCTTTTCCTCCCAGACTTTCAGCAATGATAAATACAGAGAGTACTGCTGCGGGCATGTCTGCACTGCATTATTTATCCTTCGGATTTGCACTTAGGGTTTTATTTGTAAAAGGAAAGTGGGACCATAAATCTGCTCTGCAAAGAGCCAGAAGAAGAGAGGATAGAAATTTTCAACAAGTTGTGGGGAAGGAGATGCTGCCAAGGACAGGTTTCTCATGGAAAGACGTGCCAGCTAGGATATTGTCCAGGTACAGTCAGTGGTGACAGCTCAGAGTGTCAGCTTTTTCCTTGCAGGTGCAAGGAAATTCATGTTTCAAACAACACCACTTCGTTCCTCGTGAATCAGTGGCTACCATTTCTGCTTTAACTCTGGCACTGCACACCTAGACTAGGAGACTTTCTGCTGCCTGTTGCTGGGATGAGATCTGCCTGGCTTCTAACTGCCCCTCCAGAACTGCAGAACACCGTCAAAAGCCCACTTGCCAGATGCTATCTTCCTCCTATTTTCCATTTCATGTTTCCTGATCACAAGATTGAGCTACATCTTGCTGTGGAGAGAGGCTTCAAAATAGCTCGTGCTTAGCAAATGTGCTTCATTGTCTGACATCCAAGGGGTATATGTAACTCCTGAAGCCAAATCAAGCAGTAATCTATGTCCTGCAAGGCTTTCAACAGTTAAGCTTTCTTGAGGCTACAATTATTTTGCTTAGAAACTAGACCCTTGATCTGTTGCAGGAGGCTGCAGTTCTAATAAAGTCAAACAATTTGCGCTTTGCAATGTACTATTTGCGGTACAAGCATCACTGAGTTATACAGCTCCCCTCGCTGCTGCCTCCTGGAATCTCATCTGTTTATACACCATGAGCACTTTCAGGAAGCGCTCCTAAAAATACCCAGAGATGTTAGCAGAGGATATGGGTCTGGTTCTCCTCCTCCTGCTTCTGCCTCCAGAACATCCTTCCGTCACCCTCATGCACAACAATCCTGCCTATTCAATCCTATCTTATTCCTGTGTTAGCCTCTTAACAACCCTTTTCCTTATTTCTTCACCAGTAGCCATTCTGCATACTGCCACTGAGCACCTTGTTGTGGCCACGTGGTGTCCCATCTTTCTCATTTTCTCACTACATTTGATCACTACATTAAATTCTCAAATTCTTGGGTACACCTGTATGACTGCCCAATCTTCAGACAATGAGACGCTGCCAAGTCAGGGCAAAAATAGCATCAGAAGAATAACATCTTTTTATTACTGTCTAAAGCAGCATTTGAAAACTGCAAAAACTGCAAAACATGATGCAGTACTCTCCATAAACCAACTTTTAAAACCACTCTCAGAGAAGTTACCCTGGAGATGAAGCATCTCCCAGCGGAAATACCCTTGCAAATAAAAACATTTCCATAGTAGTAGAAAATACAATGTAGAAAATCTGCACAGCAAAATTCTACACTATTGAAAAAAAAAAATCAGTTACTAAACTTCAGGTAACATACAAAAGCAGATCTGGGACTCAACCCACATTTCTAAGCAGATGATCTCTCCGCTTCCTAAGATGCGGGCAAAGCCTCCCCTCACACAAATACTACTTGTCAAGGGATGGGTTTTCTACCTGCTGTGGTCTGGTGCTATCGGTTGCCAGCCATCCTCATGAGCATAGACATCTTCCAGTGCATTCAGTGGGCAGAAAGCATGGACTGATTCACTATGCCATAAAGGATCATTGTCCAGGTCATCCACCTGTCACCAATGATTTGAAAACATACAGAAGAGAAGACAGACTTTACAAACAAAAGATCAATCTGTTTTTGTTGCTCGCTTGGTAGTAGGCAAAATCTACTCTTGTGGTTATGTCCTCTGTCTTCTGAAGAACAGCAGTGTTCTGCAAGTCCTTTTTTATGAAAACAAAGCATCTAAGCCATTTAATTCCTGAATATTGTAATTCACCAGTTCACTTAATGTTAAATATCAACAATGAGCTATTCACAAAAATTTACAACCAAAATGATTCACCAAATCCCTTCAGATTACTTGTTGAGAATCAACAGTTTTCAGAAGAGAAATACAAACCCTGAGAAGCACAGAACTTCAAGAAGTGAAATATTGATATTTTTCCACCAAAACATTTAGGTTGCTCACAAAAATAAATAAATAAATAAATTAGAACTTCACAGAAACCCCACCCATCATCGGAAAACTATCAGGCTGCAAAAAGCCAGCAAGGAATTATTTCCTCAGCTCTGGTGACAATTGGCTGTTACTAGAGTTATTCTGACACATTGTTTTGGAGAACATCTGTTTCCACTCTGACTCCTTTAACTTTCAGATGTGAAAAACAAAAGCTCATTTTCATGCCATGTCTCCCATCTTCAGTTGGCAACAGTTGCGTGATTATGAAGTTATTGTTATGCTGGATGATCTGTTTGTCAGTTTAGATTTTCCTATCATAACTATTTTTAGCTTCTCATTAGTAATACTTGGAGCCTCTCCTATAAATCTTAAACATTTATAGCACATCTCGACAATTCATCAAATGGAGCCAATCTCCAAGGAAAGGAAACCCAAACCACTTCCCCCCTGCTCAACTGAATGAGATTCAGATCCTCGTCTTTTAAACTTCAAACCCAACATTTTCCCATCTGCTCTTTATACACAACAGCCCTTTTGCTCTACACCAATATTTTATTCTCCATTCATAACTTTTTATTTCTCTCCAGAGGTTTCTGATGCTTTTAGTCTGCTGGACTCATAGAAGACTTGGATTTTGGAGGTTTCTCCCCCCCTCCATTGAAGGGGAAAAATAATCATTCAGCAATGAATGGCCACTTTTCATTACTCATTCACAAGAGAGACACAGCAGGATCCCAGGGCTTGCCTCTAAGACATTTTTCTTAGCCATTCTCACAAGACAGAATCAGTATTTTTAATCAGAGGCTATTGGACAATTACATTTCCTTTTTACCCTCTGTTCTATTCACTGAATTGCATTTACAATCTTCTGTCCTTGCAAATACAGCTATCAACTGGCCACATCATTTTTGTAGCAGTGACATGCCCAGTCTGTGACTTGGCCACAGGAGGAACATTTCTGAAAGGTGTGGTTTATAATGGGCAATAATAAAATGATTGCAAGAAAAAATAATGTGGCCTG